TGCCAGCATTCGGCACCGTATGTTAAAATTGGATCTACGATTGCTTTGTAAATCCTTATCTTTGTTTGGATGGATGTTTTATTTGACCACAGGAGAGGGTTTAAAAGACTGATTACTTTCTTACCTTGTTGAACTCTACAATGTATATCTTTCTTGGAGTTCCCTTCTTCAGATATAATACTTCCTAAATATTTATATTCGCTACATCTTTTAATTTCATGTATGTGTAGTTCAGGATCTTCAGTTTCTTCTTCTCCTACTTTCAGGTATTCGGTTTTTGTGAGGTTGATATTGAGTCCCCATCTGTCGTATTCTTCCTCAAGTTTCCTCAACATATAGTCGGCATCCTCCTCACAACCTGCAACAATAACTTGGTCGTCTGCAAGGAACAAGGTCGATAGACAGTGGTTGTCAATCTCTATTCCCATAGCTCTACTCTTCCTTCTCCAGTTTTTCAATGCCTCCTGGATATATATTTTAAATAAGATAGGTGATAAACTGCACCCCTGTCTAAGTCCTTTAGATATCAGGAGGGATTCCGATAGGAACTTCCCCCGTCTGATCATACTTTTTGGATTTTTGTACATATTCCAGATTGCATTGATATATGTTTTACTCACATTTGCCTCAACCAAGATTTCAAATAATTTCTTCAAAGGCACCGTGTCATAGGCTTTCTCTAAATCTATAAATACCAGATGCGTGTCCAAATTTCGAGCTCTCCTTTTTTCAATTATTTGTTGTAATTAGAAAAATATACATTTATTAAATAAAAATGCACAGTGGGGATGAAAATATCAGGAAAATAATTTCAGGAAATGCTAAGGGTATGCTGAAAGAAGAAATTACAGGAACGCCTTCAACGTCTTCACTGTCTTCTGACTAACCATTTGACTATCAACTCATTTTTGAACTAACTATCAACTCATAATGCGACTAACCCCGCTCTCTTCAGGATACCCTTATAGGATATATTCTTCTATTTCTCGTAGTCATCGCCGATTACGTCGTCAAAATAGTTTACAGTCGAACTTCGGTGACCCGCGTTTGATTATCGACCCGAAATTTTTATATTTTAAAAATGTTTAATTATTAATGTTATTTAATAACATATTTGGGTCGATGGCATGTAGGTGTTCGGTCTCCTGGGCTTACATCAGATTGGTTTACTAGAATTATATTTTACATGATTTTTTCCAATTTGATATAAACCCAAGTTGACATCTATTTAAGTCTTGAGATTATCCCATCAAAACATAGAATGTAAAAAAAAGTCTCGCAACAAAATTCTTCGACTATAAAAAGTTGTGAAATCTTATGTAAAACCAAGCCAGTTTATTTTATTTAGTCTCTCTTTAAGCACCTATTCAACACTTTTATTATAAATTGTTAATATCAATATTAGTCATCTTTATTTCTGTAATAATTATAATGACTTGGCAATTATAAAAGAATAATCTATCATCTCGATTATACTAAGTAAATCTAAACAGTGCCTTTAAAAATAAAGTTTTTTAATAATTAGAATAGAATATCATATCGTAAAATTGCCAAATCATTATAATGAGGAAGATGCATATATTTTATTTTTCGCCAGAAACTGTTCAATTTATTAGAATAAATATGTGTAAATGCAAAAAAAAAACTTTTTTCTTGACAGCAGCACCACAATTTTATAAAACGGGCCATTAAAATACTATGGATAACGCAAACGACGCCTCGCGAATTGAAACGATATTTTATTGGTCTGACGTCACCCGCCGTTCTCGTCGACGCGCGATGGCCAGCAGCAGCCAGACGTGGCGTACTAAGACATTTTTGTTGCTTTTAGCGTTGGCTGAAGGAGCTTTTTATGTTTTTTTTGTGCAGTTATTATTTGTATGTGTTGTGTGTTTTGAGAATTTTAGTAAGTAATGGCAGATTCCGGGTTTGTAAAAGCACAATCAGGTAACTTGGCAAAAGTCGATGCTTTTATGTTGGCTGCTTTTATAAATACAAATTCCCAATTTATTGGTGCTGAATTACAAGGAAAAAAACAGAGAGGTATGTAACATTTATTCTTTGTAGTACTGAGGCATATTTAAGTATAAGTAGGTACCTACTGTTACGAACTTTTATATATTTATAAATATTAATGTTATAAACTTATTTTTCAGATCAGGTAGGGAGACGTATGGAGATAATGCTGTAGGTTATGTAGAAGTGAAAAGAGACAAAAATATTTGTTTAGTACGTGGAAAAATAACTCCAGAGCATAGCGTGAAAAAGAAAGTATTTTTTTAATATATTGACACCCCCTTACCCTTGTTATTTTTAAAGATTGTTTTTTTTTTACGAAATTATAGGAAATATATAAATGTCCCATAAGCAAACGCTAAAATTAAGTTACTTTTTTAAGTGAAACACCCTATATATTTTTGGATTCTTCGCAAATTTCTAGATATTCTAGATATATTTCATGTATAATATCCTATACCTATCTTCAAATGTTTATGAAATATTGACAGTTGAAAACGAAAAATACCTACAATTTTCTGGACCACCTTTTCTGAGACACCCTGTATAACTAGAAATAATTTTAAAAGAGTATATGAAAAACCATGCAACATTTTTATTTAATGTTTTCTTCTAAAACTTGCAGTTAAGGCTGTATATGGGTGTCAAAATATAATGAATAACCCTGTACATTCAAATTTCATATAACTACCTATGTAAGACAATATACATAAATATATGAACTTACATCAAAATGATCTTCACAACAATAAATCGTAAAACTAGAGGATAATTTAACGGTTTTCTTTTCATCTCTTCTCATGGCCTTGGACCATTTTTTTCTGTTTTCGCTCTCATCCATTACTATTTATAAATATCACTAATTACTAATTATGTATTAATTAACACAAATAACTAAAATTTTGACTCGGATTCAACAGCGTTTAAAAGCAAACTGTGTAAAATAAACACGCGTCTGGCTCCACTCAACCAGAAGAACGGCGGGTGACGTCACAGCGGCAAGGCGCGGTAGAGAGCGTTTGCCCGGCCATTTAAATTAACAATATTTAATTATTTTATATTAGAGGCATTTCTTAACCGATATCAACGATTTTTTTTGTTCAATTTGTAATTATATGAACTATTTTTTAAAACCATTATTTAAAAACATGCATTTTCCTCATTATCACAGAAATAAAGATGACTAATATTGATACAAACAATTTATGTTTTTGATGCATCAAAAATAAAGGAATACATATAAGTATATTAAAAATAAAGGAAGATACATACAAATTCTACATTCTACTATACAAGGAAATGTGCAAAGAAAAACATGTACAACTATTGTACAAGGAAAAATATTTATCTGAGATTATAAGATATAGTGAGAGACAATTGTTTATGTAAAAAACCTTTTTATACAAGTCATTTCTTCTTATTTATGTTTATTCCACATTTCCGACATTTCCCATTACAAATAAAGACATCTCTTTATTTTTCACCCCTCGCCATTTCGTTGGACTCAATTTCAAGGACACGCAGCAGCGCCACGAACGAAAAACGCAAGAAACCGAACCCGATTCCTCATTCTATCCGGAATTTTCCGGTTTAGCGACTTGACAACGAGCCCTCCGGTTTCCTCGGGGGTTCCGGACGCATATTTTTCGCACCGTAGCCTCCGGGGTGTTACCCTTTTCATTCTCCATCCCTTTTCCTCCCGTTCGCGTCCTTTTTTGCTGGGGTGGTGTCGGGGGAGATGAAGATTTAAAACGAGTGCGAGAAACGACGTAGGTCTGATTAACGACTTTACGCGTCTCGTATATCTACGTAAGAGGCGTAAGCAGGAGCCTTAATTTACCTTCGCTTGGGTATGGAAAGGAACGTGTCTTGGAAGATAAAATAAAATATTAAGTGTTTAAGGAGAGGGAAATAAAACACGGTCAAATGAACACGTACATTGATTAAGAAAGGACTGAAGTAGATGTAGTTGTAGTTGGGCCCATTATTGTCTATTGTTAGCTATGCAGGCCTAATAGATAAAATAAACAGACGTCATTAAACAGTAGAGAAAGCAAATCAAGCCATTGGGTTGGTTCTTGGCGGTGCGCGACTGAGATCGATGTGGCTGATCGATTTAAAGTCGCCTAAAGTGTAATTTCTAGGCTTAAAAACAGATTTAATGAGACTGGATCTGTTATGGAGAAGCATAGGGAGGGTAGACCAAAGTCGATATGTGCTACCCAAGCAGCATTTGGACGTTGGGACAACGTTGTGTCACGCGACCAAACGTCGGGGCGCAACGTCGGCACAACCTCGTGCCAACCCTAGTCTGCACTAGTTTGGAGAATAATTTTTGGGTCGAAACGACGTTGGATACCGACGTTGGCTAGAAGCCTAATTTAGTACAAACTGCAACGTTGTTTAAAATCCTAATTATGGAGTGTAGAGGTAAGGAGAAATAACTCTTATGGGACTTTTATTGAAAAAGTGGTCACAAAATGGGAAGAATAAGGGTTCGCCAAATGACCACAGTGGCGCTAAAAACGCATAAATCTAAAAAATGAAAAGTAACCATAGATAAGAGAATAAAAATAAATATAACCAAACATTACCAAAAAAAGTTTTGTTTTTATTTTTTAGAATATAAAATAATTATTGTTTATCAATATTTTGTGCTTTATTTATTATTTAACAATGGTTAAAGTGTGTGTGGTGCGAAGTTGATTGAATAGCTGATGGAAATATAAAGAACAAAGGCAAAGCCTGTAAAATACATAATTATAATTCAGTATTGTATTATTTGTATTATATGTAAAAATTAGAGTCAATCAAAAGTGTAGTAAACATTTTTCGTAAGATTATTGACATACATGTTACAAAGTGTATTTTTACAATCCTTTCTATAAAGTTACAACCTGAATAAAATTTATTTTTAAAGTTTGACGGACATGCACAAATTGTTGGCATTTTTTTAAACAAATAAAAGTAGGAAATAAATAAAGTTGTAGGTACTTTCAAGAAATATAGTTAACTGTAAGTGCTGTATTTTAATAATCTGTCAAAAATCAAAATCATCAGGATAATATTAGGTATTGATTTTCAAACAAGAATTAGATTACAGCGATGGTCAAAAGCATTTAGATATTGCTTTGAAATCTACAGATAAGGTATGGCAGTTTCGTTTTAAAGAACAAGATGTTAAAGTTTATGATAAAATTGTCATCAGAAATACTGTCCACTTGCAGTATTTACATAAGAAAATGTTGGAGGATGAAGCTCTACCTACTGCCTCAGGTTAATTTAAATTCTGAGTTGCAACAACAGCAACAAGCAAGAAGGGCACCATTAAATGAATATTATACACATAAGTATTATTATACAAAGAAAGAGTAATGTTATACACATAAATATTAACATTTTGTAGAGCAACAACAGAATAAAAAACCATAATATGAACACCAGCAACTAAAACAGGAACCATTAAATGAATATTATATACGTATATGAAACAGCACTAAACTGTCTGACTGAACAGAACAATGAACTGAAAATTTAAGATTTAAGGTTATGGTTCAATACAGTTGCAAAAAGGTAGTGACTCGACGTCCTACTAACGTAAGAATAAGGAAATCTAAACAACGTTGGAATTAGTAAAACAGACGACATTTGCATAACGTTGGAATAGGTCCTGAAACTGACGACGGAAAACTCTATATTGTCCAACGTTGTAACTACGTTGTCCGAATCACCTAAAGATCACTTAAGCAAAAAAGGTTACAAAACAACGTTTATTCGACGTCGCAGAAGCTTCTATTTTGCTGTAGTACTAGTCCAACGTCGGCACAACGTTATAAAAACGTTTAAATTTATTTTAATACCCAAGGTAAAGAGCTCACTATGTTTTGTAACTAATCAAACGTTGTGTTTAGTAAACATGTGGTCGCAAGTCGTGAAAATGCTACTTGGGTAGGGAAGACCGAAGCTTAATGAAAGGAGCTAGGACCTTTTGGACCAGCAGTGTATGTATTAGCCCTCGGACGGTCTTGTGACGTGATCCTCCAATGATATCGTTATCATAAATTTCACCTGTCATTGCATCTTCACAGACATACAATTCCGTTTGGCCTCCCTAATTCATCCCCAGACCATTACACCTCTAACTCCAAAGGTATACCCTTGAACATATCGGTCGTTAAGTCTTGTATTTCTTAGTCTCCACACACGAATTGTACGTCTGTCAGTACGAAGACAAAAGCGGCTTTCATCGCTTAACATCGCAGTATGCCACTCATCATTCCAGTTAGCTCTTTCATTACACCAGAGCAAACGTTGAGCTTTATGATCTAAACCTGACTCGGAGGGCGTCTTATAGGCCTAAAGCAATGTAAACCTGCGTTTTTACGCGTTATTAAGGGTAATACGTACTCTGCTTGCAGCCAAAAGGTCCTGGCTGAGCAACGTGTAGTTTCTTGCAGGATCCATCCTAGCTCCTCTCAGTAAGCTTCGGTCCTCTCTAGCATTTGTCCCTAGCCTCCCTATGCCTCTCCATGACAGATCCAGTCTCATTAAATCGGTTTTTAAGCCTAGAAATTACACTTTAGGTGACTTTAAATCGATCAGTCACATCGATCTGTCGCACACCGTCAAGAACCAACCCAATGGCTTGATTTGCTTCCTCTATTGTTAAATGACGTCTGTTTATAGTATCGATTGTAAAATCGCTATTTTTGGGGCTTATTCAACCGGGTCTCACAATCCAAATTCACCTCAAATATCCATTTAGTTGGTCATTGGCAAGCACTCTCTCATTGTACATGAAAATAACATAACAAACATTTACTGATCTGGATAAAATTGATAGTTAAATAGTAAGACTCACCCGGGGGTACTCCGCCGATATTTTCCATCTAACTCAAATATCATTCGGTTATATATTGGTTAATCATCTTCAACAACTAGCTAGTGTCACCTGAAATAGTAGAGGGGCCTACCCCGGACGCAAATCTGCCGCTAAACAGATTCGCATCCTAATCGAATAGGCTAATTGGGGTACCTCACTAGTCTCACTACCCCAACGCCGCATCGTGTCAATCGAGAAGACAAGGTAGACCTCAAACTCTCAAGACCAACATCGAAGCCAAGACGTCACAAGAGGTTTTCTTCTGGGCAAACGACCCGTTGCCTTACAGTACATGCAACGTTTATAGTCAAAAGACCCCCAAATATCAGCTCAATGACAAAACACAACACAACAGCCGGCCGGCCTATCAACTACTGACTCGCCTCCGGCAAGCTAAGCCTTCTCTCACATCACAATTTTACCGGATCGTAAATATTTACATTACTTGCCAATGAATCATACTTATAAGTTATTAAGTTAAATTATACTCATAAGTTTATATTTTCTGTAATCGACTTTCAAATAGAGTGTTTTAACATTACTAGATAAATAAATAGAGAGTTTCCGAATTATAAAACCATTATTATAACCAACTTATTTTCCAAGTTTTACACGATAATAGAATAACCACAATATCGCAAACTGCCGCTTAGCAACACGCAAACAAATTCTATTCTAAACAAGAATTAAATGTACATTTTTATGATAATGGCTGTTTGGGTACAATTTTTTAATTTACAAACAGTATTTTTTTAAACACAAACGACATATTACGACGTATTAATAGTTATAACACATTTTTTTCTGAAAAATGATGTTCTTCCTAGCGAAAACACAATATACTTAACTTTTTTCGATTAGTTTATATTCTTCTACTATTTTCAGTGTTCCGTTATTTATTAGAATGTCTTTTCTTTCCACTAGTTCGTTGTAGCCAATAAAGGCAATGAACATCAAAATTAAGTCTGGTAGAGTAGTAAACCGATCAATTGTGAAAATCATTAGAAATAACTTTTTATTCAACATAATAATATATAAATAATTTACTGAAATAATTTGACCTTTTTTTATAGTTCTCTAAATAATATCAAAATAATACCTCTTTTGTTGATATATGCGTGTCATACAGGTAGTAATGTGAGAATAAATGTAACACAATAAAAACTTTCGACGAGGGCTTATGTTCGAATTGTCAAAACACGAATTCTTCGAGGAATATATGGATATAGATATCTAACATGCGAGATCCTGTTGATTCAACCACACCTAATAGAACTGATATGAATAAAAGACAGTTTAATGAACAATATTATCTATGCTTTTCTAATATGCATTGGGATTTTTTTTTAATTTGTATGAGCGAAAACAAAATGTTGATATTTTGGTGAAAGTTTGAAACACCCTGTCGAATATATTAAAGGACCGAAGTCGAACTGATGATGCTGAAAGGCAATTACACTAGTGTACACTGATGTAGGTGTGGTTGTTGTGTGTAAGAGTGAATGTCTACAATAGTGTACGTTGGTGTATACGGTTACGAGTTTGCTGAGGGCTTGCCGATTCATTTTTTCCTTCTGCTTTTATATATTCCCCTAACTATTTCAATTTTTATTTTGTTTTGACTTCGGCTAAGGGTATTGCGGCGGGTTGCTGTTGGCTATCTCCACAGCTGTGCTAGACGAAGGCCACAATCGTGGGCGACTTTAGCTCTAGGCTACAAATTGAGGTCTTAGCCTCCCGTTTGCTCCTGTTGTTTTTTATCATCTTTTTTTTTCATCTACTAGGTAGCAGACGGTGCCTCGTGCATCGTTTGCTTCCTGGTTTATATTTTTTGGGATCGTTGTCATCGCTTGCTGATTTCTTACTGTACCGATGATGCTGGAAGGCAGTTACATTAGTGTACACTGATGTAGGTATGGGTGTTGTGTGTGAGGGTGAATGTCTACAATAGTGTACATTGGTGTATACGGTTACGAGTTTGTTGAGGGCTTGCCGATTAATTTTTTCCTGTTTTTAAAACTTTAAATACATGAAAATTTTAAGGTGCCCGTTTTTCGTACCGTTGAATATATGTATTTCGAATATATATCAGGAATTTAATAATATTTATTAGACTGGATTAATTTCAAATTAGACATTCATTTCGTATTATATTCCGTATGCGAGTAGATGGTGACGCAGTTAAGAATTGATTTGTGAGAATAGGAATCAGGGCAACAGAGAAGAAGGAAGGTAGGTGTATGCTTGCTTCCGCGATGATTAATAACGTAAAGCAGGGCGAAGGAGGTTTATTAACCAAGTCAAAGCTTTGCGATTATATGACAAAGAAAATACCTCGAAAATTTATCAAATTACCGATACGGTTTGCCGTCAGATAAGCGGTGTCTCAAAGGTAATATATTGTTTGAAGTGTTTGTTGAAATTAATTATCTTTTTTGGAGTTTCGAATTTCAGTTAGTTTTTGGTTCTTCTATTATTAAAATTAATGTCGATACCGTATGTTTTTTAAAAGTGGTTCACCACTATAAGTTTATTTTTAATATTTTAAAAATAGCAATGCGAACAAGAAGACTTATTGTTTTGTGTGATTTCAAGTACAGGTAATATGGCGTAACTAAATACTGTTGAGCGATGAAGTAATTATTTGTCAGTAAAATTTTAATAGATATTTACAATACAAAGCATCAGTAATATACGCGTGTAAAAGTTGCACGAGTGCGTAGCACAAGTTGCAGTAACCACACAAGTATCTTAATGGGGTTAACTCGCATGTATTGTACAATATTTTATCTACGTCTAACTATAAAAACACACAATGAAATTTAAAAATTATTTTACTTAACTAGATATATATAAATTCGGGTCAGAACGTCCTACGACGTTGTCCGATGCCTAACTTCCACCCTGTGCGATTTTCCCATTGATCTTCGGTCAGATTTTTCTCGCTCATCGACCTTCTTATTTCTTCCATCCATGTTTTCTTGGGACGTCCTCTCTTTCGTTTACCAGGTGGTGTCCAATGAATGACTTGTTTTGGAATTCTTTCATTGTGCATTCTCTGAACGTGGCCGTACCATTAAAACAATTAATATGGTACTTAACTATATATTTATCCTAAAAATCAATTACCTTAATACCTTTGTTCAAATAACACCATGCATGGCAATGTCAATATGACAGTAAATAATATTGATGTCACTAGTTTAAAAAATGAGCGATTCGGAAAGTCCCTCTGACATTGAAGAAGAGGCATTCAGAGCCGTTTCTGGATTGCTTCCAGCAAGATCGAAACAGAAGTATGAATATACATCTCTAAGTTTGAAAAATGGTGCACCGAAAAAAAAAATACACAACTATGGAAATGGAAAGGTACTCATAACATATTTTTCCAATTTATCCGCTTCTTATAAACCTTCTTTTCTTTGGGCTTTCTATTCAATGATACGTTTCATGTTTTTATAATTATTATCGATAGAACAGTTTATTTGTTTTGAGTAGGTATTTAGTGCAAAATAAATGTTTTACAAAATATGTTTTCCTGTTTGGTAGTCATCTAAACAAGGAGTGCGGTAATGAAAATGCGTGAGTTAAGAGCTTCTTAACTCACTG